TTAGATGAGGGAATAGAAGGGAAACTCATCAAATTTTCAGATGATACTAAGCTGGCAGGAATAGCCAAAAACCCAGAAGACAAGCTCAGGATACAAAAAGATCTTGACAGATTTGAACAATGGGCCCTATCCATTATGAAATTTAATATGGAGAAAAGCAAGGTTTTACACCTAGGCAGGAAAAACCAAGGGTACAAGTACAGATTAGGCAAAACCTGGCTCAAAAATAATAACTGTGAGAGGGACCTTGAAGTCCTAGTGGACCATCACTTGCAGTGGGCAAGAGCCACCAAAAAAGCTAATATAATCCTTGGTTGTATAAACAGAGGCACAGATTTAAAATCACATGAAGTATTAGTACTGCTTTATAAATCCTTAGTAAGGCCACACCTGGAATACTGCATCCGGTTTTGGTCAAAAAAGATGTTGAGACTTTGGGGGGGGGGGAGTGCAAAGAAGAGCAACTAAGATGATTAAAGGCCTGGAGACAAAAACATATGAAGAATGGTTGTAGGAATTGGGGATGGCAAGTCTAGAGAAAAGAAGGATTAGGGGTGACATGATAGCAGTATTCCAGTATTGGAGGGGCTGCCACAATGAAGAAGGGATCAACTTATTTTCCAAAGCACCATAAGGCAAGATAAGAAACAATGGATGGAAACTAATCAAGGAGAGAAGCAACCTGGAATAAAGGAGAAACTTCCTAACAATAAGAACAATTAACCAGTGGAACAGCTTGCCTTCAAACATTGTGGGTGCTTCATCACTGGAGGTTTTTAAGAAAAGACTGGGCAGCCATTTTCTGAAATGGTATAGGGTCTCCTGCTAGAGCAAGAGGTTGGACTAGAAGACCTCCAAAGCAGTGGTGGGATTCGAATATGTGAACAACTGATTCTCTGTGTGGATGCCGCTTCCGGAAGTCCATTCTGGGCCTGGGCAACAAAAAATTAGCTATCGGTTCTGCTGAACTGGTGTGAACTGGCTGAATCCCATCACTGCTCTAAAGTCCCTTCCAGCTCTATTCTGATTGATTGAAGTGATGTAGGTGGGTGACGTTCAGTAAAACAGGGAAGACTTGATGATCAAGGGTATTCACTGGAAGGAAAGCTTAGTACAATGCAGCTGATCATTGAACAATGAATGTCAAACTGTTATTAACAATTGCAGTGTTCAATGATTCTGCTTAGTACAGATTGGAATCATGTCCTTAAATGTGAAGCTTTGTTTCATTCTGGACAAATGAATAATATTCTGAGCTAAGAGGGTTTGTGTTACTCTATAGGTGAAGCTATTACTTTATCACCACTCATCTCTCTGCAGGGTCCAATACGTATGAAGATGCAGGTGCCTATATCAAAATCCAGTTCCTGGAACTGAATATGAGAAGGGATGTGAAGGAAATCTACTCACATATGACCTGTGCCACTGACACAGAAAACGTCAAGTTTGTCTTTGATGCTGTCACTGACATCATTATCAAGGAAAATCTGAAGGATTGTGGCCTCTTCTGATTGCAAGTGTTCGTTTTTCCTAACTTGGTTGGCTATGGCTAGGCAGGATCAGACGGGTGGATAGGAAAGGCGAGGCGAGGAGGACCTACCTTGAATAAAATCCAGTTCATTGAAGCAATATATATATATATATATATTGCCTTATCAGATATAGTCTAATGGCAAGTTGCAATAAGGGCTCTTCCAGTTTATTTGGGAGAAACAAAAAAGATTAATTTCCCAGTTCTTGGAAATATATATTCCAGCTATTATTCTCTTCATGCAGCAGTAATGTATTGAGTGATTTTTTGGAACCTGGAAAGCCTGTTCCTTTCTATTTTAAATTCAAAATACAGTAGTTAGATGACAACTATCTAGCTTAGGCATCTCATGTTTAAAAAGAAAACAAGGAAACTCTTGTCAATGAAAATTAGCAATTTGCCACTGAATTTCAATGGTGAAATCTTGAGTCAGTGGGGGATTATTAAAACCGCAATGAAAAATTATAGACCTCTGTGATTAGAGTAAAATAAATTATTGGCACTGAGGGATTTCCAGTAGTGAGGGCCTGCAGTCAGAGGGTTTGTAGCTTATTCAGAATGTTTCCACAGAAATGTATGACTTCTAGTTCTGCTTGTGGTCTTCTTCAAGTCATTGTATGAACGATGTCAAGCAGATTCAGAATTAAATGCCTTGATCCAGCTGACCACCTCTGATGTTCACAGAAGGTGGTATGACTGAAAGAATACAACACGTGAAGCCAAAATGAAGCCAGATACTGAAGGACCTCAGTCCTCCTATGTAATACACTCTTTCTACAGACACTCCTGTTCATCTGTCAAGCTCAGGGGAAATCACGAGATTCAGGCAGTTCAAATGAGTGTAAAGATTAATTGCAAGCTTAAGTTCTCTATAGGAATCTGAACTACTAACGGTCGAGGGAAATTAGTGGGAGTTAAGCAACAAATTCAAGGTGGGCTGGGCTTAAGATTTCATGACTGATGACAGCATTTGACCCCCTCCCTCGGGCTCAGCCTGATCATCTCCTACACCATCTTGATTAAAATCAGCTCTGCCAATTCAGCTAAGTAAAAGGGCAATAATTCCTATATTGCAGTTATTTTTCCTGCAAATTGGTGTTGTCTGGAATAATTATTCAGACTCAAGAAAATAGTTGTGCCATCCTAGGAGCTGGGCTACAGAATTCATGTGTAGCTTACCAGCCTTTTTTAAAAAAAAAAAAAAACTTAGAAAAATCTGCTACTAGATGTTCCCCAATTATGGTATGCTTGCATTTTGACATTTCTTCATTACTTTCATTTTCAGCAGGAAAAACAGGCCAGCAAATTCTTTCTTCCAGTATCTGAGCCACAGCTGTGCCTCTAAGGCTGTTAGCATGTGTGGCCTTGCCTCAATTATGAACCTGCTTGCTGATATTGGCTAATTCTGCTAATGTCTTTTTCCTTGTTCAAGCTTGATTTTTCGTTAATGACACCATTTTCTCTGAATGATGGAAACATTGCTATTATCAAAACTATGCATTATGTTTTGGACAGCAAAGGATAGCCCTGCTGTTGGAATAATTATAACATTTGCACAAAGTGTAATTGTAACAGTTATTCTGCAAATAACATTTTTCTTCTAGTTTTGCACACTTGGGAGCTTCTATGGACAAGCTTGTCAATGTGTTCACAACAGAAAGGGGCAGTAATGAGACCAGACCTGGGAGTCAGAAGATGAAGATCAAATAGAAGCCTGCTCAAATATGGTGATGGTCATCCCCAACACACACCATGGCAACCAAGGAGGAGGTGGAGTCTGGCTATTTGGGATCCACGGTAATGGGTCACTCTTCTCCTCCTACAAGTTCTAAGATTTATGATAACTTCCACTTGTTAGTCATGAATTTGACCCTTTGGGTAAACTTCATCTTGGAAGATATTAGTCAAGTCACTTGATATTATTTGCTACCAGCAAACTCATCTGTGGTCCTAATTTTCTTTTTGCTGTACTGTAATAGGTCCTCTATTACGTAGTGCAAATTGAATGCAGAAAACAAGTAAAAATGACTGTTTACATTGTGAACATTATGAAAAATATGTACAAACAACTAGGACCAAGCTACAAATGTTATATATGGCTTATATGTGTTATACTCAAATAATGTCATAGATAATACTGTACGCATTCAGCATACTATTTCAAACATTTCTGTATCAGTACGTATATTTCACTTTGGGTATTACAGCTGTTTAATATAGATTGTAATACTTGCAACATCCAACAAAATGTGGATGATAAGCATATTGCTGAAAAATGCATATTTGATTTTTTCCCCATCTTCCATAACATCTGATAAAATGTATTATTACAACATCTTTTTCTAAAGTCTTTCTTTATCTCTTACCAAACTATGTGCGCATTATGGACATTTCCATATAGATGCAGTAAGAACAATCCTGGTAACATTGCTTTACTACTGATTTTTGGCATTTTCAGGTTAAAGTCTCTGACTGAATGCTTTTCTTGAAAACAAGAAAGGTTTTCTTTTGTGACAATAGGTAAGGACATTTCTCTTAATGCCTCCCACTAGTCCAAGCAAGGAGAGGCAGCCAACATGCTAGATGCCCTCACAGATCTCCAAGGGCCAATACTTCACTGGAGCACATGGGAAGACCAGAGATTCCTGTACTTTCTTCAGTATTGTCTTCTAGTCCAACCCTATACTATTTCAGACAAATGGCTGTCCAATCTGTTCTTAAAAATCTCCAGGGTTGGAGCAACCTCAACTTCTGGAAGTCACTCGTTCCACTGATTAATTGTTCTAACTGTCAGGAAATTTCTCCTTAGTTCTAGGTTGCTTCTCTCCTTGATTAATTTCATCCGTTGCTTCTTGTCCTGCCTTCCTTCAAGTGCTTTGGAGAATAGATTGACCCCCTCTTCCTTGTGGCAGCCCCTCAAATACTGGAACTGAAATATTGAAATATGTTATATGTATGTATTTAAGGAAAGACTATATTTGAAGATTATAACACATTCCCCTTTTTCTGTATTTATTATTCATAACTTATATTTTCCCTTTCAGCCTTATGGGGCATTCTGCTCAAGTTTACATACTTCAGAAAAAACAAAAGCACTCATCCAGGCCACAAAACTCTTTAGAAAGACCAAACATATGAAGTAAATGATAGCATGTTTCCAAAACAGGGATATTTCCACTTTATAGTGTGAGCATGTGCAATGTAGTGTTGTTGTTTTTTTAAGATGTTTTGTGCTACAACTTCCTTGTACCTCAATCACAATATCCAATGATCTCGCAGCTGTAGTCAAAAACATCTCCAAAGTTTTGTTTTTGTTTTTAAAAAAAAGTCTAGGAGAAGCTAACAAACTTGTATCACGAGCCAAGGAAAATCATCCAATCATTAAAACCCACCATGAAATTCTGTGCTCAAATATATTTAAGAACGATGGAAGAAAAGCAACGCAGTTCAAAGGAGGCTTTCTTTCTACTTTTTATTATTTCAAACCATGTGAACAATTTGGTAAAACGTGATAAAAGCTAGGCTGCGTCTGACGGTTACTAATGGCCCAGTGCCCATCAACTGCACAGCAGGCAGGACCGCTTACATACAGCAGCGTTTCTTCAGCTGACACTACAGTTAGAGCTAAGAAAAGACATGAAAATAGACCTGACATTACAGCAACCTCAGGTGCACCCTCGGGCCCTGGGGTGGGGCACAAAGGAATGGAAAGAAGTTGACATTGCTTAGTGGAATCTTAGCCCTTAGGAACCTAATTCTGTGTCCAGGAAGAAACATGTTTTAATGCATGGGCACTGCCCCCTCATAAAAAGCTTGGCCTGGTCCACAGCAAAAAAGGGAGAGAAGGGCTGGAAAACGGGAAGGAACCCACTGTATTCTATTCTAAACACAATGCACGTTGAAGCAAACTAAGGAACAGATGTAAACATAACAGACACCCTCAAGGCACAAATTTACTAGAGAAGATGAGCTCATACTGGGCAACTCAACCGTTTACTACTGGACATTTTAAATATGATTTTTTTAAAAAGGGTTTCTTATAAAACAATAGACCAGCTTTTCCTGCACAAATTTACTCTTAAGGAATGTTATTTTATTTTTTTGCTGGTCTGTGCAAATTACAGAGGTAGGAGCTGAAAAACTTGCTCCATGGCAAGAGCTCCACTTGATGGAAGGTTAAAAAACAAAACAAAAACAAAAACAAATGAACTGTAAATTGCTTTGGCAGGGCCAGACAGAAAGTTGCTTGGACAAAAATAAAGCAAAAGGGAAAAAAAACAAACACTCCCAAACCCCACTTTGTATCTTAAAAAAGAAGGTAAAGAGCATGGCAAACATATCCAAAGCCCTTTGACTTGCTACCATCCGGATTTCAGTTAAAGAAAGAGGAAAAAAAGGGGCATATATGGAAATGTTACAACTATGGCAAGTCACCAATCATTGGTACTTTAGTAAGGCTTTGTGGGCACACAGGGAGAAGACAAACAGCCTGCAGGAGGCAACTAGACAGCACAGAGCAGGGGAAACAATGGGCCCTGTCCTTTGGACAGGAAGAATTGCCAAAGTCTCATCATTAGGAATATTTAAAGGAATGGAACAAAACTTAAGAAGCAGAAGTTGTTAAATGATGCAGTCCTCCCTTCATCAACACCAGCCTCTTCCTCATATGGAGCAGTTCAAGTATCCTGCAGTGGGAAGAGCAAAAAGAAGTTAATATGCACATTTACAGAAAACAATGGAGTTCCAAAACTCTGTATTTGGAAACAATGCATTCTGGGGACTCCAGAAAGGTCCATTTTGATTTGGACTAAGCCAATTCAGTTGTTCTATGACAGGCAAAACATTCTCCTGAAAATAGGTTTTCCAAAAAGTGAAGCGATTGAATTACACTTGGAAACTTCTAAAAATCTTCCTGGAATAGCTAGATCAGTTTGGTTTGGAGGACTTCTTTTCTCCTGGAATACTTGGTTCCTAAAATGTAGTGTTTTGCATATTCCTAAGAGCATTCAAAATAAGGCTCAGATCTGAAGTGGTCTGCTAAATACTACTTGTGTAAGCAAGATAATGGGATATTTGTATGGTAAACGGTACACACAAAAACACATCAGTGCTCAATCCAGTACGGCATTCACTCTGCCCTGCGTATATACTTAGTCTCTGAAGTTAATCTGGAAGCTTGAATACTTAACCCACCAATCATGGGTCCTTTAGTAAGGCTTTGTGGTTCATAGTAGTTTGGACAATTCCAAATTAACATAACCCCTACCCAGATAAGATCTAGATTTTGTCAGATATAGAAACCCATCTTATATCCAGAAAACCATGATCTTTACTGCATATGTTGAGTATCAATGACAGTGGTTCTACCTCGTCTTGGGAAATGAAAAATATTACTCCCTTGCATCCAATTAGATTTGTATATTTCCTGAAATGAGACACTTCAGATAAGTGCTTCCAGTTTTGCTTTCAGGAAACTGCCATAGAGACCTTTATTTTAAAGTTCGCAAGTGTGATTATTCATCACAAGTGGCCTTAAACTGTCTCATTATTCTAATAACCCCTCACCTTTCTATTTTCCTCAGTAGATGCCATCTGAAGAGCTAAAAGAGCCCACAGTCCTTCAGGTTGTTTTTGATGATGACATCAGTGACAGCATCAAAGACAAACTGCACATTCTTGGTATCAGTGGCACAAGTGAAGTGGGTGTAGATCTCCTTGGTGTCCTTTCTCTTGTTCAACTCCTCAAACTTGTTCTGAATATAGCCTGCAGCTTCATCATATCGGTTGGCCCCTGAGAAGGTCGGGGAGAAAGAACAATGATTAGAAAGAGTATTATACCATAACTAGGTGTGCATTGACTCAGTTTTTAGCTTGGATCCTTAAAGAAGCACTACATTAGCTTAAAAAGAACCATCCTCAATCCACATAAACAATATCAGGTTAAACAGCCAGCAAATATAAGAGTTGCTATGAAAAGCTTAGCAAGACACTCCAGCCCTGAAAAAGCTCTGTCTTCCTCTTCTGCCAGACATTGAGTTAGCAAATAGGTACGGGTGGAATAAAACTAATCTGTGGGAGGGATAGGGGAAGAGGGAAAGGGGGAAGGGAAAGGAAGGGGAGCAAAGATGGCATTTTGCCGGCTCAAGGCTGAGTCCTATCAAGGAAACTAAACTTAAAATGATCCAATCTATCAGATCTGTAGTTAATACATAATCTCTCTGCACAGAAGGAAGTGGCTTCAAGAGAGAGATAATTTGCTACAAATTCCCCATGTAGCTATTATATGGATTGCATTTTTGAATCAAATCCATCTGAGTCTTATTTTTTTACAGAACTCATAACTAACTGATCGCCTTTCGTTGAGCACCCTAACCCAGTGGTTCTCAACCTTTTTAATGCCGCGACCCCAACTGGTCGTAAGTCGAGGACTAAACCGGTTGTAAGTCAAGGACTAAACCGGTCGTAAGTCAAGGACTAAACCGGTCGTAAGTCAAGGACTTTCCCTGCCCGGGAGCGCCGCGCAAGCGTGGTTCCGCCCCCTGCGCCGGCTGAGGCGTAGCTGGCAAGCGGCAGAGATGGAGCAGGCCGACCACCAGCTGGCCCAGCTCAAGGGAGGTAAGGCACCCGCCGGAAAAGGGGAAAAAAATGGCGAACAAAAAAATGGCGGACAGCCTTGCTTGGCGACCCCCCTTGAAATGGTCGATCAACCCCAAATGGGGTCCCGACCCACAGGTTGAGAACCACTGCCCTAACTTATCCCAACCATTTGAAAAGAAGATACTCAAAATATTTGTAATGTCCCAGGCTATCCTGTAATATTTCCTTCCAGTTGTAAAGGCAGAAATTAAGAGTCCAGATCTGGTTTGTCTGTAAAACCGAAAATGCTGGAATGTTCTATATAAATCTGCATGCTGAAATGTTGAATCTTATGCTCAGCCAAGGCTGCTAACTGTGAGAATTGAACATTTTTGCTCAGTTTTGCTGGCCCTGAGTTATAGATTGTCTAAAACCGTGGTGGCGAACCTGTGGCACGCAGAGCCCTCTCTGTGGGCACGCGTGCTGTTGCCCCAGTCCTAGGCCTTCAGCTGGGTTTTATAAAACCTTTTTGTTTTAGGCCTCCGTGTGCAAAAAAAAAAAAAAAGGTTCAATCAATCAATCAATTTCAAGTTCTCGCGGGGGAAAAAAAAAGATCTCGCAAAGGTGGAATTGATTGATTGAACTTTTTAGTCCCATCCAGTCTGCTGTTACCACCACAGCCACGCCCACCCAATGGGCCACACCCAACCAATGGGCCATGCCCACCCGGCACCCGACCATAAGTGGGTTTTGGGTTGCAGTTTGGGCACTCGGTCTCTAAAAGGTTCGCCATCACTGGTCTAGAATCTTGGAAAACATTTAAAAATGACCCAGGAAGGAGAGGGGGAAGAATGGCATCTGATCAGATAGGCATATACATCAGAGTATTTGGAATGTGGTGCTGCACTTTTACATTTTTTATCCTATACTTTAATAGCTATTAAACGAGAACTAAGTTCTTATGTGGCTAAATCTCAGCAAACAAAAATGGCACAACTTTTGCTAATATAGAACCAGTTCAAAACCAGGTGACTTCCTTTTCCCATTGCCAAAATTTTAGAACTGCCCCTCTGGCATCTACCATTTAGCACACACACAATAAAACCGTACTTGTTGAGCAAAATGCAGACTAGTTATCTCCTGGATTTCAGTTTCATAGTAAGACTCCAAAAACCACATTCTTCCCTCTCTACCACAACTTTGTTAAGATGCAGATTTCACATAGCCACCGAAATGATATATCCTAACTATAAGGAAAATCTTAAATATCACATACATTTATCAAAAAGTAAACTTGTATCATTTAAAATGTTTATTGTACCAAAGGTTTACATGCCATAATCAGGTACGTTTTAAGACAAGACTCTTTTCTCATTTTTGGATTTACAGAACTGTTTGCATGGCCACCTTTAAGAAATTTAACACAGTATAAACACAATCTCAACATATGTCCCCACAAGATTGTCCTCCAACAAACAGAAAGATGTTTTATCGAAACTCAAAAGCATATGCACAACTTGCACAAATAAATTACTGTTGCTGCTATGCCATTAGCGATGACAATCACAGGATAATGGTCACAATCATTGCACAAGGAGAATGCAGTTAGAGATTTAGCAGAGTAACACCTGCTACTATATATACTTAATATATATGTTGTCTCAAATACACTGGAAAAAAACAGGAAGATTGTTTTAGAAGCTAGTTTGTATTTGATTAATTCAACAGCCTCATTCTGATCTTTCTGGGTGATTTCAACAATAAATGAGAACTTTTCTCACTTCTGAAATAGCATGGAAAAGCCTTTCCTGCTATTTTTTTCTTCTTCTTCCATGAAAAGAGGAACCAGCTATTTTAACTATACAGTGAGGGAAACAATTATTTGATCCCCTGCTGATTTTGTACATTTGCCCACTGACAAAGAAATGATCAGTCCATAATTTTAATGGTAGGTTTATTTTAACGGTGAGACAGAGTAACAACAAAAAATTCCAGAAAAACGCATTTCCAAAAAGTTATAAATTGATTTGCATTTTAATAAGTGAAATAAGTACTTGACCCCTTTGCAAAACATGGCTTAGTACTTAGTAGCAAAATCCTTGTTGGCAATCAGAGGTCAGATGGTTCTTGTAGTTGGCCACCAGGTTTGCACACATCTCAGGAGAGATTTTGTCCCTTTCCTCTTTGTAGATCCTCTCCAGTCATTAAGTTTTCGAGGCTGACGTTTGGCAGCTCGAACCTTCAGCTCCCTCCACAGATTTTCTATGGGATTAAAGTCTGGAGACTGGCTAGGCCACTCCAGGACCTTAATGTGCTTCTTCTTGAGCCACTCCTTTGTTGCCTTGCCTTGGCCGTGTGTTTTGGGTCATTGCCATGTTGGAATACCCATCCATAACCCACTTTCAATGCCCTGGCTGAGGGAAGGAGGTTCTCATCAAGATTTGACAGTACATGGCCCTGTCCATCGTCCCTTTGATGCGGTAAAGTTGTCCTGTCCCCTTAGCGGAAAAACACCCCCAAAGCATAATGTTTCCCACCTCCATATTTGACAGTGGGGTTGGTGTTCTTGGAGTCATAGGCACCATTCTTCCTTCTCCAAACACGACGAGTTGAGTTGATGCCAAAGAGTTCGATTTTGGTCTCATTTGACTACAACACTTTCACCCAGTTCTCCCTCTGAATCATTCAAATGTTCATTGGCAAACTTCAGATGGGCCTATACATGTGCTTTCTTGAGCAGGAGGACCTTGCGGGCGCTGCAGGATTTCAGTCCTTCATGGCGTAGTGTGTTACCAATTGTTTTTTGGGTGACTATGGTCCCAGCTGCCTTGAGATCATTGACAAGATCCTCCCATGTAGTTTTGGGCTGATTCAATGATCTCATGGATCATTGAAACTCCACAAATTGAGATCTTGCATGGAGCCCAAGACCGAGGGGGATTGATAGTTATTTTGTGTTTCTTCCATTTGCGAATAATCGCACCAACTGTTGTCATCTTCTCACCAAGCTGCTTGGCGATGGTTTTATATGCCATTCCAGCCTTGTGTAGATCTATAATCTTGTCCCTGACATCCTTGGACAGCTTTTTGGTCTTGGCCATGGTGGAGAGTTTGGAATCTAATTGATTGCTTGCTTCTGTGGACAGGTGTCTTTTATACAGGTAACAGCTGAGATTAGGAGCACTCTCTTAAAGGGAGTGCTCCTAATCTCAGCTTGTTACCTGTATAAAAGAAACCTGGGAGCCAGAAATCTTGCTGATTGATAGGGAATCAAATTTCACTCTTTAAAATGCAAATCAATTTATAACTTTTTTGAAATGCATTTTTTTTTGTTTCACTGTTAAAATAAACTACCACTAAAATTATAGACTGATCATTTCTTTGTCAGTGGACAAACATACAAAATCAGCAGGGGATCAAATAACTTTTTCCCTCACTGTACATTCCATAATTTGCTTTCCACTCAAACCATATACTGTTATGCACCATTTTGTTCTACTTTTCTAAGGACTATGATCATTTTAGGGTTCAGAGGAAATGCTTAAAAAATCAATATTGCTATATTTACCTAAAGTCTAATCTACGTTTTGTACTATTTTGTTCCACAAAGTTTAGTTTGGTTCTCCCTACTTCAAAAGTGAGAAATTGACCATTTTTTCTCAGATACTATGTTGGTATTCAGTAAACTTGAACTTTTTCAATAATCTGATGGACAATAGTTCCACAGGATGATCTACCAATAACACCTTTGAATTCTTGTAATCTCATCCTCATGGTATCAGCAATAGCATCCAGCCATCTTATCTTCTCTGGCTTTTATCTTCGACTGACTCTGATTTTTCCATTGTGGCTCTCCAAAAGCTTTTGCTTCTGGCATTATGTGCCCCAAATATCAATATTTACCTTTATTTTAGTGTTTTCAATTAACAGTCTGGTTTTATTTCAATCCATATTGAATATTATTTTTCTTGTTGTCCAGGTACTCTCAACAATGTATTTCAGCACAATAATTAAAATGCATTACTTTTTCTTCATTCAGCCTTTCTGATGATTTGGTTTTCACAGCCACGTGTTACAACTGGAGAGATCATGGCTTTGACGACATATATCTTTGCTGGTACTGTGATGTCTCTGTACTTTTTTAATCTATTTTTGTCACAGGCTTTCTCCCAAGAAGCAGACATATATTTATTTCATTATTAAAATCTCTAACCTTATGGGTTTTGGAGTAAAACAAAATAAAATCTATTATTACTTTCACTACATCTTTCACTCCCTCTTTGAATTTGGATGCTGTTAAAAGTTGACATAACCATAGTTCTTTTAATATTGACTATCAAACCAGTTTTTGTATGCCTGACCTTCATTTTCAGCAAAGGATTCCTCAAGTCTTCCTTAATGCCAGGCCCCCAAAGTAGTATCATCAGTATATCTGATGTTACTAATATATCTTCAAGCAATTTTAATGCCTATTTCTGCTTTTGATATTCTGAATGTTCAAGTAGTCTAGTAGATAAGTAGTAGAGTAATAGTATGATTGATAAGTGCATTTAAATGCATTGAAATTGATTAAGAGAGGATACCATTCAAAAGCCAGTTTAAGTTGATGATATTGAAGCATCTGCAATAAATAAGTAAAAAGATCTGAAGAAAAATACTAAAGTGGACAGGAAGTTTTATGTCCAAAAATGCACATGCTAACAGAAAGGAAGTTGGAGTATTATGCAATTTTGTTCTTAGGCAGAAACAGTCCTTCCTGAAATTGTTCCTTGCCAAGTATGTTTGAGCTATAATCTACAAGCATGATGGCTAAATATCATGCATGAGTGAGGATTAAGGATATTAAAGATACTGAAGAGTGCACTGAATTTTGGAAGGATTGTTGCCACTAGTGGGGGATGAGTTTATTTAGAGCTTTGTATTTGGGGTTTTATTTCTGTAAGCCACTCAGGGTTACCATGAGTTAATTGGCTAGTCATACAAATTTTCTTAATAAATAAACAAAAATAAATATACAATATATTTCTCCTCTCCAGGTATTCTAATCAAAATGTACAGGTAAACAGTTCAATAACTTGTTAGCACTCCATTTCTCACATTTGTATGTTCCTATGCATTATAAATCTGCAGATGGCAAATGATTATTCTGCTTTCATTTGATGTCAATTTATTCATGCTTAGATTGATACATTCCTTCCATGGGTTCTTGTGCTTTAGCAACTGCACTTCAGCTGAATAATTTTTCTCCCAGTACCATCTTGAAGGCGATACAGAATTTTGCTGGGTTAATGTTAGTGTTTACTTAAATTGTGGAACACATAATCTTCGACACATATATAAAGTCTGTACAAACGTGAAGTTCTTACACCATTGCAAAATAATTGGCCTCCTTCTGCAAAATTTCTTTTTAGAGTAACAGTTGCTGTTTTCTTTTGCGCTTGCAAATTTTGGAGGAAGTTTCACAATTATAATACCTCCTGTATTGAGAGTAGATTCCACAGATAGTCTCCATAGCTACCCTTTCAAGTAATGTTTTTTTTATTACTTACCCAGAATGAATTCATTAGTGCTGATAACAAATTCCTTATATTTCTCACTATCACAATATAACATAAAGATTATTTGCAATTAAAAGCATGTGTATTTGCAAGTAAAATTAACAACTTCTTGACTACTATTGATGCACAGTGTTGCTACTTGGATTGGTTTGGTTTGGCTTGGCTTGGCTGAGGTCAATGCACTGTCATTCTGAACTGCTTTGTGGAAACATGTTTGCTCATTGTCTTCTCCCCATCAACTTCCTCCTCCCATTCCCAGTGTTTTTCCATCTCTGATGCAATTTGCATGAAATGATCTAGAGCAGGGGTAAGGAACCTTGGCTCTTTTATGACTTGTGGACTTCAACTCCCAGAATTCCTGAGTCAGGAATTCTGGATATTGAAGTCCACAAGTCATAAAAGAGCCAAGGTTGCCTACCCCTCATCTAGAGGAATTATTCCATGAAATATTTCTTTAGCTGCATGTAGCAGCTTGGCTGTTGGACCATTTGGCAAAATATCAATGAATCATCACTTAAGTTTTCCTTTTCTTTATAGAATTCTCAACATTATTGGACGCATACCCTATTTCTGGATTGAAGTTTTTAGCAATATATAAACTTTGCTGCTGTTGTCCTCTTTATCATTAATTGCATGAGGCTCTGGGGACTTCGGATTTGTCTGCAGTGTACTTTGAACATCTCTCTAGCCCAGAATTTTTTCTGCAGTATTATTCTCAAAGATTATAAATATAAATACAGCTGCCTCATCAAGTTTCATAGTGTTTAAAGGGATAAAATGTACTTGAAAAGAAATATCATGTAGGTAAAAGGCAGAGTTGTATATGGGAACACTATGTGTTTAAGAGCCTAAAAATACATTGGAATGTTCGGTATACTGTGGAAAATACATGGTAAATTGTAATATCCTGCTGTATTTCAAATAGTAAAAACTATTTCTAATATTGATGGGAACATGAAAGAAAAGTCTTGAAAATTCATAAAGGAATCCAAAGGAATTGAAATAGTGGAGAAGTTCAGTATTTTTAATAAATTTGGCTCATTTTCAAAGTGAAAGTACAGAAAGAAAGTGAAAGTTGTTCATTTACAGTATGTTTGGAGAATGGAAGGAACAGCAGGAGAGGTTCCTATTCTGGGTTTAGATTTTTCCCCCTAAATGGTTTGCTTACTAACTGGTATTATGGATGATTAGGGAATGCAGATAATTCTTGTTTAACAACCATTCATTCAGCAATTATTCAAAGTTATGACAGTGCTGAACGACTGGTACTTATGACCAGTCCGTGAAGTTCTGTCCATGCCAGCTCCTCTGTGGTCAACATGATTGCTTGGCAAATGACTCACACTTGTAACAGTGGCAGCATCCTGAAGTCAGGTGATCACCATTTGCAACTTTCCCTGCCAGTTTCCCACAAGCAAAGTCAACAAGGAAGCCAACAGGGAAGGTTACAAGTTGCTTTATGAATTGTTTCCCCCACCTCCTCCAGATGGTAGCAGCTACCCCCAGCCCCACCATGTTCACGCCATACCTTACCTGTCAGTCAGCCGCTTGTGAACCATCTGGGACTTGCTTAAGGACCCATAACCCTTAATGATGACAAAGGGAAATGCCAGGATTGCCATCGCTAAACAATATGGTCACATGATATTGCACTTTATGACTGCATTGATTAGTGCTAGAAATTCCAGTTCTAATTATCATTGTTAACTGAGGATTATTTGTAGAACAGATTACATACTGGTTTTTTTTAACACAGTTCCTCAGTGAACCCGAGCACCATTACAGGGTGTAGTTGACCCAAGGAGACATTCATTGTAATGCAACTAAAGGATTCTATCAGCTTTATTCTTAAGCTAAATTAAGTCTATCATTAACTCCATGTAGGACATGGAGATAATAAGAGCAAATTTGAAAGGAAAAAAAAGGAAATGTTTACCTGTGTACTCTGGGAAGCAGATACTCAAAGCACTGTGGATGATCTTCTCTTCAAAAAGATCCTTCTTGTTGAGGAAAAGAATGATGGAAGTATCTGTGAACCACTTATTGTTACAGATACTATCAAACAGCTTCATACTTTCATGCATCCGATTCTGTCAAGATAGAGAACATTCTCAGCCAAAAAATGAACTTACTGCAAGAATATTGTTTTTATAATGTTTAAATTAAGTTAACGAAAGACCTTTTCCTTATATTTATTGAACACCTCAGAAAATGTTTCAGAGTGACTGATGTCAACTTCATTATGCTGAAAGCATACTTCAGCATGGTAGAGGCTTCATCCATTATCATTTCATTATGGTTTAAGGTCGATGTTGATGATTTGGGGAAGACGAAATATGGTTTTAAAATGTAGGCATTATTATTATGTAAAGAAGTATGGCTTTAGGAAGGGCAGAGCAGATAAAAAATATTACTTTTTTTTTAATCATGGACCTACAATGCCAACCTGGATTTACAAGCATGGACTGATGCAGGTGTTTGCTCTTTGCTTATATACTGGTTCTCTCTTTTGGTGAAATGAAAGGCTGAGCAATCTTACTCTGCATGTTCAAGGTATAATGCTTGCATTAAGACATAACTTGTTTTCTATATGTTCCAGATGTTTTTGTCCTTTTACTTTTTGTCCTTCTGTTTGTTTTATCTTTTTTTGCAATCTTTTTGTTAGTTTTTTATATTAACAAAATGTAAAAAGTGTTATTTTAATTATTTATTTTTTTAAAAAATATTTTCTTTATTTTAATTCTTGTTAGCTGCCTTGGATACCCACGCAAGTAGAAAATCAGCATATAAACTGAACAAATCAGTAAATACTCAGAGACAGTTAATAGGTTTCCTATATTTCATGTACAGTACATGCAGTTTTAAAACCCCATGCACTCTTCAACCAGTACCATAAATATGAACTACACTCTGCTTTTTTATGATGTTATAATGCACAAAATGAAACCTAGTACTGTGAACAACACTGGGGACTTGCTCTAGATGGTGCAGCCCTTGAAGACACGTGGATATTACAGCTGGAACAGAATGAAGCAAGCAATAATAAGTAGTATCAATATATCCATATTACAGCCCTGCTACATGAGCTGCTCTGGTTGCCAGTTAGCTTCTGGCTGCAATTCAAGGTGATGGTTATCATCTATATACATTACATGGTACTGGGTCTAGCACCTAAAGACAACTATGTCTCTGATTGTGTCTAGCTATCCTGTTCATTTCAACAGAGTCAGTTTGCTTTGTGTCTCATCAATTAAACAAAATCATCTAGCAAGACCCAGAAAATTGTCCTTCTCTGTCATCACACCTGCCTTTTGGAGCAACACCCTTCTGGAGATCCAAGTGATCTTCACCCTTATGCTGCCTCTAAAAACTTGTTTTCCTGAGGCCTTGCATTAAAACGTTTCAGGAGTGCACATTTTAATGGGGGTGGCAGATATGTTGCAATATGTTACGTTGTCCTTTAGACAACTGTTGTGCTTTTATATAAAGTATCTTCATTTTATATATAATGTTGTTTACTTTTTAAAGTTGTGAAACCACTCATATAGTAAGTTTGGAGTTGAACAGGCTAGACATTTGACAAATGAATAGGTCAGATACAGTACCTGCCTTGCATGCAGACAACTGAATCTCTAGGTGACATAGGAAGAGCTAGTAAAAAAATTCTGCACAATAGACTAATGAGTAACTGCCAAATAAGTGTAGAAAATACTAAGTTTAAGGGATTAGTGATTTGACTTGATGTATGATAGCTTCATTTATTATGACTGTATCCTTACCATTTCTTCATCTTCAGCCAGAACTAAGTCATAGGCACTAAGAGCAACACAGAAGATAATGGCTGTAACTCCTTCAAAGCAATGGATCCATTTTTTTCTCTCAGACCTCTGGCCCCCAACATCAAACATCCTGCAAGCAAAATTACAGAGTTACTGATGTCAAACTGTAACTGTAGAACAACCACCTCACTGAAAATCAAAAAAGGTCATTTATAAACATGGAAACAAAACATAACTTTGAAGAAATCAATGAATTTTCATTTATTAATGATGCAACAAAAAACCTGAAAGTTAAATCTATAGCTGATACTATTTTCATACCTAACCCTACAAACATCTCAATAAAGATAAAGTTCTCTTTGAGTCAAGCGTGTCTCCTACTGACTTCATGGACTTGTCCATGCGCTTTCCATGGAAACCGTATAGAATATAGAATTCTCTTTTTCTGCTTGTATGATTTTTCAGTTGAAAACCTGGGCTGAAAAAACTTTCCAGTTTTCAGCCCAGGTATTCTCAAGTACTCCCCTATCCAATTTACTAATTAGGCTTCATCTAGCTTAGATTTGAGTCCAAACAATTATAAATAAGGGGTTATTATCTGAGGTAAATCAGTAATGCAGTCTAAAACTCTTGCAGAAGGTCCACTATACAGACCAGTTGTTTAAACTGGGATGAAATGCTTGGATTTTCTCTGTACCATGCAACATATGAAAGAACAAATAGCATTTAGGAGTATTTCTTGATGTGTTTAAATGGGGAACATTTTTTCCAGTTGTGAAGATAATATAGAATCCATATTTGGAAACTGCACTTTGGCTGTTCAGTATACTGTCTTTAAAGTCAACAAAGTCCCCTATTCAGCAAAAACAGAATACTAACTAATTAACTTCAAATATAATAAATAATACAATCATGCCAATTCTATTTTGATTCCCTTAAAACACCTTTAGGTGCACTGTAAAACTTATTTTACTGGGGGGGGGAGTGGAATACCCAAAAAGACAGATGCATGAATATATGGACAAGCACCAAAGCTAAGCAGCATTTGAAGGCTAATCTATCTAGAAGATTATCAAGCCAATTTACCACAAGATAATATTTTTCCATATTCCAAGAGAGGGATGCACTTCATATGAAGCTGTTGTACTTGACAACATCGTGCATTTTATGAAACATGTAATTCAGCCTTGAGGCATAGAAAAAGAAATGACTCTGCTTCTTCTTGAATGTACATAATTCTAAGAAAAAATGTTTTTGAACGGTAACTGCACAAAATGGTCTTTCTTAAGAGTTTTATATCAAATCAAAGAGACTGTTTAGGTATTTCTTACTACACACATTGAAAATTATATTTAAATGCCTGTTTTGTTTTATTTATTTTAGAAAACAACCCAGACATCAACAAAGAAAGCATAACAAAAGATCAAAATATAAATAAATCTAAACCAAATGTGCACCGTAATCAGCAAGAGAAATACATATTAAATATACTCAGGTTCGGCAGAATTCTTAAAAGAAAAATAAATAATTTCTTCAGAAAATGAAGAACGACAAAAGCAACTAAGCTGAAACATCTGTTTAAGAGCCTGTCCTGGATCTAAAAGTCTCAAGTATAAGGGCTTGGCAACTTCCTTTATGTATCCCAAATGACGGAGAACCTCCATAGACATTTCCTTGTGTGTATTCCATTCATTCCAAGAAAGAACCTGCTTTAAACTTTCATCACCTGAAACTCAAGTCATGACTGCCTATTAACATCTGCAGACATCTGTAATTAGTTGGTGTTTTTGTTTAAATATCAACAGTTATCAATTGGAAACCTAGGTTGCTCCTCTCAAATTTCATATGCATATTTATAGAAGCTAATTTGAACACAATGTTTACTTAGTTATGGCTGCAGACCATTTGGCGAAGTATTTCTGAATTCATGTTGCATCTTCCAACCTCGGTTTGGGAAGAAGAGGAAATTGTTCTGTGCTAAAACTGCAAAAAAGTGTGTGGGCTGCAACACAGTGGATATGACTATAAATCAAGGAATTATTTTCAACAATTGTGTGAGGGAAAATCTTTAATCTCCCTAATGGATCAAGAAATCATATGATATTGCATGTTACTTAATGAACCGTTAAGTTGTCTAATAAGAATAAAAAGGTCCCTAATGGATTAGAAATTACCCTTTATAATTCTAGATGAGTTCTCAATTAAGTTTTGTATGACTGTATATCTTATCATCATGTTCGAAAGCTGAAATATTAGGTTCAGTATTCCAATGACTGCAGGTAAAGCATGGCAACTGGGCCTACTGATGTCATAAGAAAACATATTAATACTTTAATTTTCAAAAGAACAATAAGAAAGCTTTCAAAAATAACTCAAGTAAAATATTTAAACAATGGAAATTAGCTGGATAGCTAGATAGACAGATTCCCCCACACACATACACACACAACTTTTCATTCGTTGAACATAAAGATAGCCAGAGCAATGTTTCATGTTAAGCTACTTAGTGGTACAGAGAGAAAGAAAAAGAAAAGGAGCCATATACACCTAGGACAGTGGTTCTCAACCTTTTTAATGCCGCGACCCAACCGGTCGTAAGTCGAGGACTAAACCGTCGTAAGTCGAGGACTAAACCGGTCGTAAGTCGAGGACTACCCAACCGGTCGTACGTCGAGGACTTTCCCTGCCCAGGAGCGCCGCGCATGCGTGGTTCCGCCCCCTGCGCCGGCCAAGGTGTAGCTGGCAAGCGGCAGAGACGGAGCAGGCCAACCACCAGCTGGCCCAGCCCAAGGGAGGTAAGGCACCCACCAGAAAAGGGGAAAAAATGGTGGACAAAAAAAATGGCGGACAAAAAAAATGGTGGACAGCCTTGCTTGGCGACCCCCGTGAAATGGTCGATCGACCCCAAATGGGGTCCCGACCCACAGGTTGAGAACCACTGAACTAGGAAGTCATAACCAAAGAAAAGAAGGAAGGAAGGAGCTAGCTTAGCCGGTGCTGAATAAGAGTATTGACCCAGCTATACAGCACTTAGAATCTTGCATAACTGGATGAAATTCTGATGTACTTCCCTACACTTGCAGTTGCTCAAAGGTCTATAGCTGAAAGGAGTGGAACTGATTAGAACATTTTATTTAAGTACAGTAGGGTTTGTTGAAAATGGAGAGGAAAGATGGAAGAAAAGGTTCATATATACATACTTATGCAATATTTACTTGAGGGTTAAGAAAGCTATGGCCATCTCAAGTGTTCTTGACTCCAGTAGATATTAACTTGACATAGCTAAGCAGAATATTAATCCAACTATATCTGAAGTGCCATAGGATATTTTATTCTAACATATGAAAATGGACTACAAGTTGTGAAAAGTAATTTATTTATGAAAGTATCCTCGGTTTTTGCATAAGTTAGAAGTAATTATTTTCTCATGGTATTTAATATGAGTAATTTCATTTTATATTACACTTTATGACACAAAGCAGCTAACAACTAGAATAAAAACAGTTACCGTATTTATTGGCGTATAACACGCACCGGCGTATAACACGCACCTTCATTTTAAGGGAAATTTCAGGAAAAAAACTTAAAGGTGGGGCCGGGCGGCGGAGAGCTTGGCGGCAGCGGCAGCAGGAGGATGGGGAAGGGGCGTGGCTGCCCGGGCCAAGGTGGGGCCGGGTGGCGAAGGGCCGCGGCTGCCTGGGCCNCTGCCCGGGCCAAGGTGGTGCCGGGCGGCGAAGAGCCGCGGCTGCCCGGGCCGAGGTGGGGCCGGGCGGCGGAGAGGTTGGCGGCGGCGGCAGCGGCAGCAGGAGGACGGGGAAGGGGCGCGGCTGCCCGGGCCAAGGTGGTGCCGGGCGGCGAAGGGCCGCGGCTGCCCAGGCCAAGGTGGGGCCGGGCGGCGAAGGGCCGCAGCTGCCCGGGCCGAGGTGGGGCCGGGTGGCGAAGGGCCACGGCGGCAGCGGCAGCAGGAGGACGGGGAAGGGCCGTGGCTGCCCGGGCCAAGGTGGGGCCGCGCGGCGGAGACCTTATATCGGCGTATAACACGCACACCTCATTTGCCCCCTATTTTCAGGGGGGAAAAGTGCGTGTTATACGCCAATAAATACGGTAAGTTTTAGAAATATATATACTTTAAATAGAAAAAACAAGTATAATTGTTCAGGATCACATGATATAATTACATTAAGATTTTTTTAAAACGTGCATCTTCACTTTGGATTACTGAAAATAATTCAGATACCAACCATACATGAAAAAATGCAGAATCAATAAAATAATGGAAAGGAATTCTTGGTAAAATCTGAATGATTATTTGAATAAATGGAAACCTCAATATCACTGCTAATATCGGTAATTTAATGTTCATGTTTAAATTTTATAGTTCCAGGACTAAATATTACATTATTCTAAGAGCACTTTTCAATCTTTCTATTAATATTTTAAGGGTATTAGAGTATTTCATTTTGCAAGAAATTGCAAATGAACTGGCCAAAACATCTAATACTAAAAAGCAGAAAGCAATGTATTAAGAAAAACCAACAACTTTATGGTATTTGCATTAAATATACTGAGATTTGTTGTATGTCACTTAAGAAAGGTAAATATAATACGTTCAATACCAATACCATAAAATTCTTTTTTTTTAATACATTGATTTCTGCATTTTTCTAGCCAAGAAATGTAAGTGTCACCCATGGCTGGAGATACATTTTGTTTTCAGGAATGGGTGAGCAGCAGAGGCAGGGGGCAAGAGAGAGACTGATCCTACTATGTTCTCCTTGAATGCTAGATACAATCTTACAGAACAGTGCCAAACTTTAACTCAATATAAATTCAATATCCTACATCCTCCTTGAAACTGATTCTGATCTGTGACTGAATTTTTCCTTAATTTAATACAAAGATTTGGAAAAGAAAAGATTATATGTGGTTTATTCTTGACAGAGGCCATCAGCCAGTTTTTGATGGCTAAATGACTTGACACATTTCTGAACTTGAGGCAGTCACATTTCTGCACCCCAATAAAATTAATAATTCTCCTCTATGTGTAGTAATACCTCACTCTAATCAAACTGAAATGATAATCAGTTTTTTAACTTAGGTTAATGAGAAATGTTGCTCAAAAGTAGAATT